ATGTACATACATATATCCCAAATCACTTAAGCTGTAGCAACTAAATTTGCCTAGGACAAATCTTATAGGAAGCCTGCCGCTAAATCCCCATTTAACGGTACGGTTAAAAACTACTAAAAGCGCGATAAATCAATAACTAAATATGCTAGARAAATTCAACTTTAGCTGGATGGAGGATTGGCGTCCTCCCAATTTTTAGTGAAATCACATATCTCGAGATCCGACCAAACCGATTTCGACAAAATTTAGCACCTAGCATTCTTCTTACATTCTTATGTTAGCCAAAGGACGTTGTCCAAAGGACGTTAATGATCCATTTCGTGTATCAGAAATGGATATTCAGCAATTTATTGGAGCAGTTTATATGATGTCYTKAGTACAACTTCCTAATGTATCACTGGAGCAAAATTGATAATCCATGATATAAGAAGCGATGCCGCTGAAAAAATTTGAAAATTTACGATGTCGCATACACTTTAACAACAACAGCAAAAATTTGCCGTCAACTGATAAAAATGTTGACAGAATGTACAAAATACGCCCGATCCTGRATCAGTTAAATAAGAATTTTGCAARAGTGCCTCTTGAACAACATCTATGCGTCGRTGAACAAATATGTTCCACAAAAGCCCGAAACCTTTTGAAACGCTACCTGCCAAACAAGCCTCATAAATGGGGCTACGAAATATTTGTTCTCTGCTGGACAACTGGATTTGCTTACAAAATTGAACCGGAAACTGGCAAGGAAAATATCGTTGGGGATAACGAGCCGGATTTGGGAGCCTCTTCCAATGTWGTCATGAGACTGTCACGTATGATTCCACGAAACCAAAATTTCAAACTTTATTTCGACAATTATTTTACTTCAATTCCACTGCTCGTATATTTGGMAAATGAAAGTATATTCAGTGTGGTAATTATAATTCGGAGGAATAGAATTCGCAATTTTAAGCTAACAAGCGAAAAAGAAATGATGAAAAAAGAGAGAGGATCTGGCATAGAGTACGTGTGTCAGGCTGAAGGAATCRACATTTCAACAGTTTCGTGGAAAGATAATAAGATTGTAAATTTCGCATCGACTTTCCTTGGTGAAATACCAAAACGTAAAGTAAAAAGGTGCGATAAAATTCAAAAGAAGTACGTTGAAATTGATCGTCCGTCTATTGTTAGTGAATACAACGCGTATATGGGTGGTGTAGACCTTATTGATTCCATCCTGGGAAGATATAAAATAAAACTTCGAAGTACAAGATGGCAAGTTCGAGTATTTTACCACCTATTAGATTTAGTGATGGCAAACGCTTGGCTTTTATATAAAAAAAAATCGATCCAATAACAGAGAAAAATTGTTGCCTGCGGCAGAGTTTCGCTTACAGATCGGAGAAATAATTTTAAAATACGGACAAAAAATCAACGTCAAGAACACTAGATCCCTCGAGCCACAAATACAAGCGATAAAACGCAAAGGACCAGCACAGC